GTGAAAGGAGGGGAGCCGGAGAGGATTGAGGTGAGAAGGGGGGGGGAGTGGGAGGCGAAGTGAGAGGGGAGGAGAGGGAGGGAGAGGGAGGAGGAGGAAGGGGAGGGAGAGGGAGGCGAGGTTGGAGGGAGAGGTGAGGATTGAGGTGAGAGGGGGGGAGAGGGAGGCGAAGTGAGAGAGGAGGGGAGGGAGGGAGGAGAAGGGGGATTGAGGTGAGAGGGGGAGGGAGGGGAGGCGAGGTGGAGATGGAGAGGTGAGGATTGAAGAGGGGGAGAGAGAGTGATGAGGTGGGAAGTGAGATTGAGGTGAGAAGAGGAGGGAGAGAAAAGAGAGAAAGAGAGCGAGAGAGAGAGAGAGAGAACAAGAACCAAATAAACATAACCACACCAACCACGCAATAACCGACCCCTACACCCCCTTCCCTTTTCCCTCTCTCCCTCAGAACGACGTCGACTACATGATCGGCCACACCAAACCCAACATGGTCATCGTCAAGAAACTCTTCACAGACTTCCCCGACGTCTTGGAGTTCCACATCAAAATGGGCGTCGTGAGGGTGATGGACGGCGAGGTGGGCGTCGGCACCATGTTCCTGCTGATCAACACCCCGCCCGAGGGAGGAACCTGCACCCTCCATCCCCCGCCTAACAGGGTCCTGGCCGTCGACGGGGACACGCCCATCGATCCGGAGACAGGTGAGGGAGGAGGGGGAGGGGGGGAGGGTGAGAGAGGGGGAGGGTGGATGAGGGGAGGGGGGCGAGGAGGAGGGGAGAGAGAGGGTGATATTGATGGTGATGAGGGATGATGATGGGGATGATGATGATGATAATGATGATGATGATGATGATGATGATGATGATGATGATGATGATGATGATGAGGAGGAGGAGGAGGAGGAGGAGGAGGAGGAGGAGGAGGAGGAGAAGGAGAAGAAGAAGAAGAGAAAGGAATATGAGTATGATAAGATAAAGATAGATAGATAGATAGAGAAAAATAGATAAAGAAGTAGGTGAGAAGAAAGTAAGAAAAAACAGAAAGAAAAGTGGGGAAATGAATGAATAAATAAAGAAAAAAACAAGAATGAAAGAAAATAGAGACACCATTACACTTTATTAAACCTTCAAACCACACACCACTCTAACGACCACCTCCACCTACAGGCTTCCCCCTCCGAGAAGGACGCACACTGACAGAGAACTTCTACTGCGAGTGTAAGGGCTTTTACGACCATCAGAAGGACAAGATCGCCAAATACAGCTTCTTTTGTGAGTGCTGAAGAGGGGACATGTGGATGATATTTCTATTTTGTTATATTTTCATGGGTATTTATGAAGACAAAAGTTATAGATGTTATAGATGCCTATACCGAGTGATGTTGATATAGTTTTAAAAGTATGACTACACTGTTTGTTCTTTTGTGATCTATTTTCTCATTCCTACAATGTTTATTCTTTCCCTAACTATCTCCTCGTTCCTAATTTTCTATCTTCTCATTCCTATAATGTATATTCTGACCTTAACTATTTTCTTATTCTTACACTTTTAATTCTCTTCTGATCTCTCTCCTCATTCCTACAATGTTCATTCTATCCTGATCTACCTTATTGCTAAACTGTTTATTCCGTGCCTGTCTCCTCATTCCTACGTTCCTATCTCTTCATTCCTACAATGTTTATTCTATTCCCAACTATCTTCTCGTTCCTACAGTGATCATTCCATTCTGATCTTCCTTATTCCTTAACTGTTTATTCTATTACTCTCCTCTCATTCCTGCATTCCTAACTTCTCCTCCCTACGCTCTTTATTCCATTCCTAACTGTCTCCTCATTCCAACACTTTTAATTCAGTGTTATTCAATCTCCTCATCCATGCACTTTATTCCATCCATATCTTCTCATTCCTACAATGTTTATTCTATTCCTAACCATCTCCTCGCGCCTACAATATTTATTCTATCCCTAACCATCTCGCTCCTACAATGTTTATTCTATTCCTAACTATCTTCTCATCCCTACACTCTCTATTCCATTCTTATCTCCTCTTTCTTACACTCTTTATATCATTCTTATCTCCTAATTCCTACTCTTTCTCCATTCCTTGCTCCTCCTTCCTACACTGTTTAACTGCATCCCTAACCATCTCCTCGTTCCTCTGACCCGACAGTGAAGAACAACGAATGGGGTTACATCAAGAACCTCAAATTCGGCATCGACAGCAAGGACAAGTTCGTCTTTCCCTTTGGCAACTGGACTTTCTGGGTGACCATTGAGGACGAGTTCGGGGCTGCGAGGGATTACTTTATTGCTGGGTTCTCGGTAGGTGGTTGCGTTTTTGCAAGATTCGTTTGGTGTTGGTATTTAAGTGTTTGGTGTTTAAGAGAGGCTGGTTTTCAAGGTTTGTTTGGTGTTGGTATAGTTTAAGAGAGGATGTTTTTCGAGATTCATTTGGGGTTGGTATTGTTTAAGAGAGGATGTCTATCCTTTTTCAAGATTCGTTTGGG